TGGAAACTGCTCGGGCAATCTGTGATGTTCTTGAGCCATGACCACACTGGAGCCGCTGAACCACGAGTGCTGATTCGACTCCAACATCGTGGCCAAAGGCCCGTATGACGTAGTATTAGCTGTGACTACTCTGATCATCGATGCGACCAATAAGAACAAACTGCGAAACTTCACTGCTGCGGATCGCCAACCTCTCACACTAAGCCGCGGTACGCGCCCTCTTGACAAAGTGCGCCAAGTTGTCACCCGCCCGCTTGGCCGCTTCACGCAGCCCTGAGTCACCATCAGGAATCTCGACATTGACGCTCTCCAGGAAGGCTTTGAGCACCTCTGGGGAGTCCGCGGCATGATTAGGAATGAAAGCTGCCGCAGCGCCTTGGGCGTGGGCAGCGCCAACACCTGCTTTGTCTCCTCCCGCCTCGGCCGCCTGGCCAAGATGGGTAGCCTCGGCCTGCCGCTCAGCTGCTTGGCGCCGACGATCCTCATTATGCTTCTCCTCGGCCTGCCGTACTTCCTCCAGGACGGCGTGCAGCCTCTCCGCCATCGCCTGCGTGTCGCCGAAACTGGTGAGCATCTCGCCCAACCTCGCGACCGATAAACCAGCCGCCTGCGGTAGCACCTGCTCGAGTGAGGCCGGCTTGTCCTCAGGAGGCTTCGGCGCTGCGACTCCTCCAGGTCCAGGATCTCCTTGGAGGTGTCACGCAGCGCCTGCTGCGCCTCCTGCAGGCCCTTCTCCGCGGCCTCGAGCGCAGCCTGTGCAGTCTTGATGGCCGCCTCCTGCTTCTCGCGCCGCTTCTCCAACTTCTGATGCTGAAACCCGATCTCACGCAGCCGAACGTCCAACGGCTTGCCCGACGCCAGCCTCTGCCGCATGTCATGCTGCTTGGCACGCAACTTGCCCAGCGTCTCAATGACATCGGGGTCCTGCATGTCTTTGATAGCCTCGATGTGCGCCGATGTGTCCGCCAGCTGCTTACGCAAAGCTCCCTCGAGGCCTCCCTGGAGCACACCCTCGTCGGCGCCGCCGTCCACCTCCATGCGATCGGGCGGGCGGCCAGCGGCCGCGCGCAGCTGGGCCAACTCCTCCTTGCACTTCTTGAGTTCCTTCTCCAGCTTCGCGGCAGCACTGCTGGGCGACGCCACATTCTGTGAGACGCTCCTCGATGGCACGAGCGGCTGCTTGTGCCCCGCGGGCGCCGTCGACTTGTGCTGTCCACACTTGGTGCACTTCTCGCAATCTGCTCTGTTCCACCACTTGTCCTTGCCTGACGGCGACCAGCAGTGCTTGCAGAACCACGGGGGAGCCCACGCACGCCGCTCCAACCGATGGCCCGAGGGAGGCGAGACCATCGCGCCTTGGCGGTTGCGGCCAGGGCGCCCGCACAAGACAGGATGTTTGCGAGGCGCGCGGGAAAACCCGCAGTACAGTAAGTGGAATGAAAGAGGAGCCTCAGGAGGAGGAGGAGGAGGAAGAGGAAGAAGAGGAGGAGGAGGAGGAGGAGGAGGAGGAGGGAGGAGAGGGGGAGGGTTGGGGTGCGGGGGACGAGGAAGAGGTGGGCGATCCGGGCGAGGGCGTGAGGGGAGAGGCGGATGGGGAGGTCCAGCAGACGAGAGGAGGGGAAACGGACGAGAAGGTGGGAGGACAGATGAAGCGTCTCTTGCCCCCTCCACCACCGCTGTTTCCTCCTTCAACGAGGGTGAGGAGGAGGAGGGAGGAGGGAAGAGGATGCGGGGGCCGAGGGATGATGCCTGAGGATGGAGATTGTGACAGAGGAAGGGCGATGGATGAGATGATGCGGGGGAAGGAGGGAGGAGGTGGCGGGGACGGACGAGCGAGGAAATGATGATAGGAAGGAAGATGAACCCATGTTGTTGATGATGATGATGATGCTGATGATGATGATGATGATGATGATGATGATGATGATAATGATGATGATGATGATGATGATGATGATGATGATGATGATGATGATGATGATGATGATGATGATGATGATGTAGATGATGATGCTGGTGCTGGTGGTGATGGTGATGGTGGTGATGGTGGTGATGGTGATGGTGATTTGGGACGATGCTGCTGCTGATGATGAGGAGGGCCGCGGGCGAGTGGGTACGTGGGGCATTCTTTCAGTTTTGGCCTAGCGTCCGACAAACACGACGCAGCCACTCACCCTCGACCTCAGGTCCTCGACTGGCCTGCATGAGAGCGGGACGTGGGGAATGACGATGCGAGGCTGCGAGGGGAGATGCGGAGAGTGAGGAGGGAAGAGGAGGGAGCGGAGGAACACGGAGGACGGACGTGGGAGGGGGGGAAAGAGGAGGGGGAGGAGGAGGAGGAGGAGGAGGAGGAGGAGGAGGAGGAAGAGGAGGAGGGCAACAACCGCTACAGCCACGACGCACAAGCTCGTCCAGCGTGGGAGAAGAGGCGGGCCGGCGCAGGGACGGGCGAAGGGACGGGGACGGAGGAGGACGAGAGGAGGACAAGAGGAGGACGAGAGGAGAAGACGGACATATGAGGCCAAAACAAGGAGGAGGATGAGCGAAGAGGAGGGCGAGAGGAGGACGAGAGGAAGGAGGATGGAGGACGAGAGGAGGACGCGGGGAGAAGACACACATAAGAGACGGAAAAAAAGGGGGGAGGATGAGCGAAGAGAAGGGGGAGAGGGCACGCGGCAGACGAAGGGGCAGCGGGGGTGTCGGCACGATGATCGGTTGTCCTCGCTCCTCGCTCCTCGCTCCTTCTTTGTTTCCGCCCGCTCGGGACAACAACTCCCCCCTGCTCCCCCCCTCTCGGGGAGAATTGGAGGGGAGGAGTAGGGAAGAAGACCAGAGGTCGACGCGGAGGGAGGACTGTCATGAGTGTCCGGTCTGGAGCAGTTTTAACAGGCGCTGGCTTGTGTAAGCTTTCGGACGCCCCTTCTGGCGTGCTCTAGAAACCTTCCCCTCTCCATCATCCCCTGCTCTTCCCCCGGTTCTTAATCCTCTTGTTGCTCATCCTCTTTCTCATGCTCTTCCTTCTCGTTCCCCGCTTGCTTTTGGTACCCCTCCTCTTCCTCTGCTCTTCCTCCTCGTTTCTCTCCCTTCCGCCTCATCTGTTTTGCTGGTCTTACCGACTCCCTCCCACCGCTCCCCGCTTCCCCACCCCCCTCAACGCCATCCACTTGTATTTTCTTGCTCCGATCCTGGATCATCCCCCCCCCTCCCGTACCTCCTCCTCCTCCTCCTCCTCCTCCTGCCCATCCTCCTCGTCGCAAGTGCACGGCCAATGCACATGCCTCGTTGCCCTCGGCAGGGCGTGCCGGGCACAGCACCCTGGCGAAGAGAGCGGGCGCACGAGCAGCGAGGAGAGTGGTGCTCCCCCCATCGGCCTGGCCAGGGCCTGGTCCCTGGGCGAGGGCAGGAGGGGGGGGGGGGAGGCTGCGGCGCGGCGCGGGGGGAGGAGGGAGCTCGCGCCAGCGGGCCTGCTGCTCGCCCTGCCCTCTCCCCCCCCCCTTGCCCACGAAAAGGTGCTCTCCCCCCCCCCCCCCGCTTCCCCCGGCTGCTCCCGTGCGGGGGGGGCATCCCCACCGCCCCGTGGACGGCTCGCTCCGCCAACAGGGCCTCGCACGGTGCTGGCTCCTGCGTGCTCCAGATTTCGTAATACAGGGAGGGGGGTCTCATTTCGGGGGGGGGGGTCTCTTCCAGGCTATCTTGGAGGGCCTGGGGGGTCTGGGGACGATGTTTTGGAGGGTTCTCCCACGGGGGAGGTCTGAAATGGCTTGTCTTGGAGGGTCCAGACCCCCTCCCTTTTATTACGAAATCTGGAGTACCCTTTCCAAGCGGACCGCCTCCGGGCCCTGGAGGAGGTGGCTCTCGCTGCAGCCATTGGGGCCGCACTTTCGGGTCGGTCGGCGCTTGGCCCCCGTCGTTCGGACTGGCGCTCTCGCCCCCGCGCGGGCCGCACTCCTGGCTTCGATTCGCGATCCTTTCCCCGTCGGTGCCGCCCTCGCCCTTGTCTTATCATCCTCCTGCCCCTGGTCCCCCTGTTCTTCCTACTCCAGGTTGCTCAATGCCTGAGATCCGACGGCGCAGAAAAAAATGCAGCGCAACACAAATCACAACCCGAGCCCTGGACCCCATCTTTCTGCGTCCTCTTTCGCGCTGGATCGATGTGAACGTCCGGGGGCCCGAAATGGAGCGAGAACGCCCGGTGTGAACACAACGCCAGGATCTCATACCCCCGACGTCGTGAATCTTTCATGACGTCGACTCCCAGAGCTCTCGACCCATTCCACAGGACCCGTTTCTCATCCCGAGTTGTTTTTGACAGTCCCGAGGCCCGGCGAGGTCCCCCCGGATGACGAACATAGCGAAAAGCCTACCGACAAAAAAGGCGTGCAGTGGTAGATCGCGTGGGGGTGTAGGAATGGGCTGTGCTTCGCGGGCGTGGGGGGGGGATCGCTTGACCGGGGTGGGTTCGGGGGGGCTTCGGAAACAGCCTGGGGTGCTCTCCCTGCTCCTCCTCCTGCTCCCTCCCTCCTCGTCGTCCCGCTGCTGCTGCGCTTCCTGCTCCTCCTTCCCTCTCGGCCTGCTCTTCCTCCTGCTCGTCCACCGTGCGCGTTTGTGGCCGCGCTTGGGGCACTTCACGAGTCCGTCCCTGCGCAGCCCCAAAATGTCGGCGGGCGGGCGCGGGAGGGATGGGTTCGGTACTAAGGGGCAGGTGGTCTCGAAACGTCTGGATTTCCTGGTATCTGTAGCAAGGGGGAGGAGGAGGAGGAGGAGGAGGAGGAGGAGGAGGAGGAGGAGGAGGAGGAGGAGGAGGAGGAGCAGGAGGAGGAGGATGAGGAGCAGGAGGAGGAGGAGGACTAGTCCTGGAGCTCCTGTGGGCACTGCAGCGTGGTCGAGAAGGCTTGTGCCCAGAGTGACAGAGAGGCGTGACTTATGTCGCAGGTGTGTGGTGGTAGTGCTCATGTCGCTCGTGCTGCACAACGTATGAAGCCTCGCGCCATGGCCATTCTCTACTCGTGGTTGGGGTCCTCCCACCGAGGGGCCTCCAGCCGTGGTTACTGTACCGTCGGGATCCCTGTGGCATGCAAAACTTCTCTTTGCATCCCCCTACCATCGGTGTCATGTGACGGCCTGTTTTGTATAGCTGCCCTTCGGCCCAGTCGCTCAAAGACGTCGCTAGTCCCTCGTGGTACATCACGTGTGGGGGCGTAGTAGCACACGTGCAATGCATCGTCGTACTGTCTGGTAGCTATGCGGGTACCCGCTGTGCGACCTTGTAGCCGCGGTTGTGTGGTACATGGTTCGCAGTGCTCGTTTCCGTATTCTTCTGCTTATGGGCATGCTCGCCCCGCAAGAGTTGTTGACCCTTTTGTCTTCCTTGGCCCCAACTTGCAAAGCCTTGCAGTAGGGCAACTCTGTCCATGCGTATTGGTTCCGAGCCTGCCCACTTGCACGTGCCGCTGGGCAAACATAGATCCCACGACTGCAGTTCACAACTGGTGTCTCCCAACCGCTCCATGCCTATGGCTTCCATGAGCAGATGCGCAAGCTATCTGTAGGGTCGGCCCTGTGGCCATGGTCGGTCCCCTGGTCCCCTGGTCCCCTGCCCCCCGAAGCCCGCGGTCCTGGGCGCAACATCGCGGGTGTACGTTTGTGCATGAGGTACTGTCTGTCTGCACCTGTAAACCTCAACCGGCGACGAGGAAGAGGAGGATGAGGAGGAGGAGGGGGAGGAGGAGGAGGAGGAACAATAGGACGAGAAGGAGGACTGCCAAGAACTAGGACAAGGAACGGAGTCAAGAGCAAGACCATGCGTCGCGCTGAGACATCCAGGACGCCCCCCCCAAAAAAAAGCGACGTGCTCGATGCCCGGCGGACTCCTGTCAACGGTCTCTGTTCCACCTCTTCCTTCTACCGTGCCACCCGACTTTGCCGCCCCGCGCGAAGGAAGAGGCGCAACCATCTGCGCGCCCACGTGGCGCCCCCAAGGAGGATAACGACTCGCCAGCCTGGGCCACCGAGCGACAGGCACAACTGCCCGTGCGCCCCTGCGGTTGATCCTCCCCCTCGCCCTCCTCGCCCTCCTCCTCCCCTCCTCCTCGCCCCCTCCCACTCCCGTCCTCCTCCTCCTCCTCCTCCTCCTCCTCCTGCTCGCCCTCCTCCTCCTCCTCCTCCTCCTCCTCTTCCTCCTCCTCCTCCTCCTCCTCCTCCTCCTCCTCCTCCTCCTCCTCCTCCTCCCCCTCCTCCTCGCCCTCCCATCTTTGCAGGGGATTATCCCGCCCCCCCCTTCTCCGCCCTCCATTATTCCTCCTCCTCCTCCTCCTCCTCGATCTCTCCGTCCTCCGTCTCCTCTTCATTTTGCTCCTCCTACTCCTCGCTCTCTCAGTCCCGGTCACCCTCCCCTCCTCGCCCTCATCCTCCACAATTGCAAACCTGAATACTACTCTCCTCTCTCCCCTGATGACGTTCAGAAGATGTCCGGCCCCCCTCCGCGCACAGGTTTTTACACACATTATTCCCAGGAGTTGGGATTTCGCTTGTTTTGTTTGTTTCTCTATTTGTCCTGCTCTGCAGCGCGGGCGTGTTCGGTCCTTCCAAATGGGCCCCGAAATCTAAAAACTGCCCCCCCGAAAAACCATCGAAGTGATTCCACATTCGGTGTCGAATCGTTAGGTATTTTGTGTCGCAGAAGACCTCCTCACTTTGGGGCGTCGTCGCTTTCAGGAAGTATCGAGCGGGAGCCCCGTGTCTGATTTGAGAAGGCGATGTTGAAAGCGGAGCCAGCGGGTGCTCTCCATCAGCCCCGCCTTGTGTGGAGCTGTTCGGTGAGCCCAAGGAGCTAGACATGAAGCCGCGACTCCAGACCGGCACAGACCTCTCGAAGACGATCCCCTTACCCTCCAAGGAAGCCGGCGCCATGCCATGACATGCTGTGCAGTGTTGCGTTCTGCGCCGCTGTGCGATGCCATGCTTTGTGTTGCAATGCTTTGTGCTGCAATGCTTCACTGCGCAAGGCCACGCCATGCTATGGCATGCTACGATCTGCCATGCTCTTCTAGGAAGTGCCATGCCGTGCTCTACTATGCATCGCGTCCCCTCTCGCGATCACTGCCCTGGGACTGTGCGAATAGAGAGGATCTCTACGCCAGGGTAGGGGATGGGAGGGAGGGGTGGGACGTCAGATAAGTCGCGAGCGCAGCCATCTCTCCCCTTTCTTCCCCCCCCTCACCAGAGCAGGCCTTCCTCTTCCTCACTGGCCATCCGTCTTCCCCGCCCCCCCCCCTCCCCCTCCTCCTTGCCCTCCTTGCCCTCGCCCTCCCCCTCTGCCTCCTTCCCCTCCTCCTCCCCCTGCTCCATACTCTTCCTCCTCCTCCTCGTCCTCCTCTTCCTCCGCCTCTTGTTCCTCCTCTTCTTCCTCTTCTTCTTCCAGTTCCTCCTCCACCTCCTTCTCCTCCTCCCCCCCCCTTCCTCCTCATCGCCCCCCTCATAAGAAAGAGGGTCCTTGAGCTCGAGCTGACCCGGCTTCCCGAGTCCGAGTCGGAGCGGAACGTCACGTGCCCCGTGTCGCCCTGCGACGCCTGCACCAGGGTGGCCCTGCTGCCGAGGGTCTCCCTTGCGGGGCCTGGGCGAGGGGCCCAAAGACCAGCTCATCCTCGTCCATCTCCTCCTCCCCATCCTCCTCATCCACCCCTTCTATGTTGTGGATAACTCCTCCTCCTCCTCCTCCTCCTCCTGCATCTCCTCCGCCTCCTCCTCCTCCTCCTCCTCCTCCTTCTCCTCCTCCTCCTCCTCCTCCTCCTCCTCCTCCTCCTCCTGCTCCTCTGACCACCAGACGTGTCGGTAGGGCGAGCCGGCCGTTTTGCCTGAGGCTTCCTGCCCGTTTGTGACCCAGACGCTGGACGCTTCCGACAGCTCTGCGGATGACGGGGGCCGTTTTGAAGACGTGGCTCTCGCCTTACAGCCGCGCGCATTCGTCTAAAAGCTTCCGACAGCTACGCGGAGGGAGGGCGGTTTCTTTTCTGAATGTGACTCTCGCCTTCGCGCCTCGCACATTCGTCTTAGAACAACTTCGACAGTTACACGGATGGGGAACGTGTTGTTTTCAAACGGTGGCTCTCGCCTTACCGCGGCGCACATTCATTCCAGACGTCACGCGGGGGAGAACGGTTGATGTTCAATGTGTGGCTCTCGCCTTACCACCTCGCCCGTGACTCTTAAAACCCCCCAACAATTACACGGATGCAAGGCGGTTCCTTTTCACGGTACGGCTCGGGCTTCGACACCGCGCACATTCGTCTTCAAAGTTTCTACTCAACAGTTGCACGAGCTGATGTGTGGGTCGTTTTCAACGTGTGGCCCTCGCCTTGGTGCTGTGCACATTTGCCCTGACCGTTTCTTACACATACTAAAACGGAGGATGGCTCAGTTTCAACATGGGCTGTCGTTTGCGCCTGCCTCGCTCCGAAGGACTCGAAATATACAACGGTGCAACAGTTACATGGATGGAGGGCGGCTCCTGTTTTAATCGGGGCTGTTACTTTAGACTCCCTTATGTTTAATAGCCATACGCTTGAATCGGGCATGCCCCCCCTACAGGGGGATTTTGGGCGAAGCATAAGAACTACCCCAAACATGCTCCCAAATTGTCAAAAATAGTCAAACAATCGTCCCCATACAATTTGTTTTACTATGTTTGAAAGTTCCTCCCGTAGAGGGACAGGCCCGATTTAAGTTTACTGGCCACACGCTGAACATTAGCGAAGCATGTATGGACCGTGAGCTCCTTTTCAACGCGGGTGCATCTCTCTAGACGCTTCCTTGGGCTTTTTGTGGTTCTGCCTCGACGCCGTCCCTGTAGGCAGAACCACGGACGTCCTCCCTCTCCTCAGCCACCTCCTCCTCCCTCTCCTCCTCCACCTCCTCCTCCTCTTCCTCCTCCTCCTCCACTCCTCTTCCTCCTCCTCCTCGTCCTCCTCCTCCTCCTCCTCCTCCTCCCCCTGCTCCTCCTCCTCCTCCTCCTCCTCCTCCTCCTCCTCCTCCTCCTCCTCCTCATCCTCCCTACAACGCGGACGAAGACGAGGTCGAGATCATAACCCGCCCCAATTCAGACTAGTCGGAATCGCGCTGTTCCTGCATTCGGCCTCCTTTCTGTTGCGCTGTTGCAAAGGCACGGTGGCAGAAGGCTCGGGAGTGTTCCCTGCCTTCAGGCGCGTTTTCTAAGCCTTCCCCGAGGACACCGAACGCTTCTCAGAAGGCGCGAAGGCGTCTGAGAAGTCACGCTGCCTTCTGAGACGGCCTTTTCCCTTTTCCTTCTCACTCCCCCCCTTGCTCGCCGCCGATCTTTCTCGCTCCGGGCCTCCGCCGTTCTGAAGGCTGTACTTCTACCTCACGGCACAAAACAAACCGACGCTAGAAGAAGAACAAGTTGCATAAACATAAACTCTTGGCACTCCGCGCGGATTTCTTGGATCTGCACTGATACTCCTCTCTGGCGCGCGGAATGCACCTGGGGCGGCACCGGAGACGCCGCTGGGGGTGCAGCGCGGATCCAAGAAATCCGCGCGGAACGCCGAACATATGTGTGTACATATATATATATATATATATATATGTATCCCGTTTTTTCTGCTTCGAACGGAGGCAACCCAGAACCGCTCCAGCCCAGAGTCGACACCGAGACGGGAAGGGGGAGGTCGGAGGTGAGGGGCGAGGGGCGAGGCTGGGGCCAGGTGGAAGGAGGAGGAGCGGAAGGAGGAGAAGAAGCAGGAGGAGGAGGAGGAGGAGGAGGAGGAGGAGGGGGAGGAGGCGGAGAGGAGGGAGGCGGCTTCGCCCCCCGTCATCCATGTCAAACAGCTCCACGCGGGGCACACGCGTTGATGTAACACATGTGCTGTGTGAGAATCCGTATCGCATAGTCCCATGCGGGCCGCACACGCGCGCGCACATGCTTTCTTTTCCAGGCTGGCTGCTTCCGACCAGCTCCGAAGAAACCTATCCAGCAGACTGCGGCGAATCCCGACACCGTGCCAGTTCAACCATTTTGGGAGGCTGTCACGTGTGGCACCTCGTGTCTCAAGGCTTGGGAGAACCTTAGTGATGGTGGTGATGCTCGCGATGGTGATGATGATCGTGTTGAGGATGCGAACGATGACGATGATGACGATGAGGATGATACTGCTGACGAAGAGGGTGCTGATGATGCAGTTGATGATGATGATGATGATGATGATGATGATGATGATGATGATGTTGTTGATGATGATGATGATGATGATGATGATGGTGACGACGATGATGCTGACGATGATGATGCTGATGCTGAGTATGATGATGTTTATGATGATGTTGATGCTGATTATGATGATACTTATACTGATGATGATGCTGATTATAATGATGATTATGATGATGATGATGATGATGAGGATGATGATGATGATGATGATAAGGATGATGATGATGATGCTGATGATGATGATGATGGTGATGATAAGGATGATGATGATAAGGATGATGATGATGATGATGATGATGATGATGATGATGATGATGATGATGATGATGATGATGATGATGATGATGATGATGATGATGATGATGATGATGATGCTGATGCATATTACGATGATGATGAGGAGGAGGAGGAGGAGGCGGAGGAGGAGGCGGAGGAGGAGGCGGAGGAGGAGGAGGCGGAGGAGGCCCTCGGGCCTGCCGCGCCGCCGCCAGAGGGGGCCCTTCTGGCGGGAGGGGCCGCCGGGAGCGGCCCGGCCCTGGGGGCCGACAGCGGCGATCCGCGGAAGCCCCGCGCGTGCCGCCACGCTGGGCGGCACGGGCGGGCCCCCGGCTGCTCGGCGGGTTGGACGCTGGAGGGGACCCTGGGAGGTCTTGAGTTTGCGCCCTCCCCCCCCCCCTCTTCACCCGCTGGTTCTCTCGGCGCGGGACAGACTCGCCCCTCCTCCTCCTCCCTCCTCCTCCTCCTCCTCCTCCTCCTCCTCCTCCTCATTCTTCTCGTTCTCCTCCTCCTCCTCCTCCTCCTCCTCCTCCTCCTTCTCCTCCCCTTCTCCTCCTTCTCCTCCCCTTTTCCTCCTCCTCCTCCTCCCCTCCTGCTCCTCCTCCTGCTGCTCTTCCTCCTCCTGCTCCTCCTCCTCGTCCTTCACCTGCTGCTCCTCGTGGTCGTTATCACCGTCGTCGTCGTTGTCGTCGCGGCGGAGATGTTTGTTCCCTCTATTGTTTGGCGGGCTGGATGATGGTGGGGGCTGTTTCTCCCAAATAATAATCCGTTGTGGGCTACCCTGCACGACGGAGGATTTCTGAGCATCGTCTCAGGAGTATTGCTAAATGAATCAACGGTTGTGGTTGTAGTCGTGATTGTAGTCGTGGCTGTAACCGTAATTGTGATCATGATTGTGGTCGTTATTGTAGTCGTGATCGTAGTCGTGATCGTAGTCGTAATCGTGATCATAATCGTCGTCGCATCGTGGTCCCAATCGTGATCATAATCGTAGTCGTAATCGTAGTGGTGTCGTCGTTGTTGTTGTGCGGCGTCTGCCGCGCAGAAAGAAATCTGCTCCACTATTGGAGAGAGCGTGATCCACCGCCGCTCTATTGTGGAAGATTAACCCTCCTCTTCCTCCGGAACCCAGTGGTCCCCCCCCTTCGAAAATCCCCCCCCTGCTGGAACCTCCCACCCCAAACCGGAGGTGGTCACTACCGGTTCGAACCCCCCGCCGCCAGCAAACGATTCCGATTCCCGCTCCTCGGGACAGTGGGACAACGGAACTGGTTCGAACCCCGCCCCCTCTCCCTCCCTCCGCACAACCGGGGGGGTCACTTCCGGTTCGAACCTCCCTCCCCCCCAGCCTCCAGAAAACCGGGGGGGGGGTCACTACGGGTTCGAACCCCCCCCCACTCACCGCCAGCAAACGATTCCCGCTCCTCGGGACGGTGGGACAGCGGAAAACAGGGGGGTTCACGACCGGTTCGAATTTTTTCCCTCCCTCCAGAAAACTGGGTGGGGTCACTACCGGTTCGAACCCCCCCCTCCCCCGTCCAGATAACCGGGGGGTTCACTGCCTGTTCGAACCCCCCCTCCCCCTCACCGCCAGCAAACGACGCCCGAATCCCCACCACGGTCCGCACCACATCCCCCACCGCTGTCCCCAGCACCACCGTCCACGCCACCACTGTCCCCGCTTTTCCCACAACCGTCCCCACTGTCCTCACCAGTGCCCCCACCATTGTCGCACTGTCCCCACTGTCCCCACCACTGTTCCCACCATGGTCCCACTCTCCCCACTTTCCCCACGGTCCCCACCACTGTCCCACTCTCCCCACTGTCCCCACCGTCCCACTGTCCCCGCCGCTGCCCCACTGAGCTGTCCCACTGTTCCCACCACTGTCCCCACTGACCCCTGTCCCACTGTCCCACGCCGTCCTCAACACCATTCTCGCTACTGTCCTCACCACCACCGTTCCCACCACTGTCCCACTGTCCCCACTGTCCCCACCTCTGTCCCACTGTTCCCACACCACTGTCCCCACCATCACCGTCTCCACCACTGTCCCAGTCCCCAGCACTGTCCCACCACTGTCCCACTGTCCCCACTGTTTCCACCATTGTCC